ATATATATATATATATATATATTGGTACCAGGGATTGAACTCAGGGTCCCTGAGCTTGCAAGGAAGACAGTGAAACCACTGAGCTAAATTCCCAGCCTCCAGATAGTAAATATTCAAGATTTTGTGTTCCACATTTCTCTGTTGGGACTCTTCAGCTTGGCAATTATATCTTTTTTTTTTTTAAAGCAGCCATTTTATTGGGCTACTAACAGTAGAACACTTTTATACACATACTTCATAAGGCATTCCCAGAATATAGCCATAACTATTATATAAAACACTGCTTTATAATTATATTCATGTGAATACACATTTTACCTTTATCAAGAGGAAAAAAGGCCTTCTGCTATACCCTATTCATTGCTAAAACAAAATGGGAGTCTCAGACTTGTTCTTTTCTCCTGGGAACAATTCTTCCCCCATCACCCTCCAGGGCATGTCACGATATGCACACAACTTCAGTGATACTAAAATCATATCCAAATTGAAAGTAGCCACAACAAACATTTGTTAAAAAAGACTAAATCAGGTGATTTTTGAGATATATCATTCAACAAGAGCCAGTGAACATGTGTCTAGTTTCAAGCAAATTTTCCTTCCAAAACCTTCATAAAATTTATATTCACTCAAATTTAGAATGTTTCTCATTTTAAATCTATAGTTCTGCAATTACATCTTGAAAGCATCCATAGATGATAGGTAAGTGTGTTCTGGTGAAGCTCCGTTTACAAACAGTTGGAAGGTTGGCCACACAATAACTGATCTCTGGTCTGGACTTCACCTAGGTTCACACAATAACCACCGAGTGGTGACAAAAGGAGGACTGGCCACATCACCGTGTGTTATAGTTGGGTTGTGCCCCCCACCCTCCAGCTTTTCCAGAGTTCAAAGTTATCACTGGAGCAGAAGTAGCAGTGCAGGATTCTGGCCCCCATGGTAAGGTCATAGCTTCACCTGTAAGTTATTTTTGTCATTGTTGTGCTATTATCTTTCTTCCCCTGACATATTATGGAAAGTCACTAAGTCCGATGTGTTTTTCAATGGTTGTTACTAAGAGAGCACAAAATAAAGCATGAAAATTAATATGTTTATCAAAAACATTTTTTTTTTTTTTTACCTTTTGGCCAACCTCTTTTCCTTGGGGCTCCATTACTCAGAGTGGAGAGAATTCTGCTCCTGCCTCTCTCTCTCCCTAAGACAGTAGGAAATATGAAAGCAGATATTGCTAAAAAGTCACATTGTATACAACAGTGCTTTAAAAGTTTTACTGTACTGTAATTTTTCAAAGGCCTAATACAAGGTGAAATGGAACCTATGGCCTTGTAAATTGCTGAGCCTCAGTGGTTAACTGGAGTCCATCCTAGATTACCTTTTCTTTACTCCATTAGTAGTCCAAATTCTCAAGTTAAACAATAACTTAATAAGTCAGAGTTTCCTTATTATTCCAAGGAACACTGTGAGAACAATGATAATGAAAGCTAAAATTGAAGCTCTCATTATTTGTCAGACGTTATTCATACATGATTTTACATATACCAATTTATTTAAGAGATTGGGATTTCACGTATCCCATTATCAATGAAGGAACTGAACCCTATGGAAATTACAAAATCAGGTGAAGCACTATAGATCGTTTTGGATGAGGAGCAAAAATTGCAGCAACAGAAGAACTTGCAACCAGGGAGAAAGGACAATGAGCAGCGCAGTTGAGACACGGTCAAGGTTCCTAGGCGCTGGACAGATTGCTGGGCTGAGAATATAAGAAGACTGACCCAAAGGACCTTATTCACATAATTTTAGACATTTAGGATGTGGGGGGAGACAGTGAGGTGTGTGCAGGCACACCTCAGCAGTACTGTGTGCAAGGAGCTGATCTCTAAGGCAGGGCCTTATCCTCTGTCTCCCTGTGTGTGTGTGTGTGTGTGTGTGTGTGTGTGTGTGTGTGTGCACATATAATATCTATTATATGTGTGTATATACAGTCGAACCCCAAAATTTGCGAGGGTTATATTCCTAGAGCACCCGCAAGATGTGAAAAGCCACAAATTTCAGATATGGTCAGAAAAATGCCTATAAATGCCGATTTTTACAGTTTAAACCCCCAAAACGCTATTTCTCCCGCAGTTATGTAAATAATTTAATAAAATACTGTATTAATAAAGCCCTAGAAGGTGCAGGGCATTTTGGTGGCATCTTAGGAGTCTTAGGGCTGCAAGGACAACAAAACCGAGAACATGGACGGGGGATTTATTTCAGTGGTTCCGTTGTCTGCCTCGCAAGCACAAGATTCTGAGTTCGATCCCTGCTAACAGCAGCAACACCGAGGATACTTGAGACAGCTACAAGGGATATAGCAGCCTGTTAGGACAGGAGAAGGCTGGCGCTTTTGTCAGATAAGTTGTAGTGCAGCAGCCAATCAGCAACAAGGAGAACTGAGTAACGCTCTTGGATTGGCTCCTTGCAAACCTCCCACCAAAGAAACAAATGCGTAGGATATATGTGATTTCTGCAAAATTTACAGGATTTCTGTGAACAATTATTTGCTAGGTTCTAAGGAAAAATCCACGAATGACTGAGGCTGTAAACTCTGAACTGTAGCTTTGTGGGGGCGTATACTGTATAATTGAATGTAACTATACGTATATAGGAGACGGAAATAATCAAAAGTGATGGAAACAAACAAAATCCCCAAATACTTTAACTCCAGAGGAAAAAGGAAAAAGCCCAGCCACCTCTATAGTGTCATATAAACATTCTAGGGGTGTTTCACATGACGTGAAACAAATGAACAAAAGAGATAACGTGTAGAAGTAGAACAGAGAGGGAAGACAAAAAAGAAGAGACAAAGAAGCAGAAAAGGAAGGGTGTAAGAGAAACGAAAACTGCAGAACCCAATGCAGAGAATGGAATACTGCGTCCCACATCTTCTTTCTCCTTCTGTGCTCAGTGTGAGGTGTGTGCTTCGGCTGAGTTTGGTTTAAATAACCGTGTGTTTCCTAGCCTTAGGCCTGAGGCTGTAGCAGGACTGTTACGGTTTGGGTCTGGATGTCCCCCGTGTGTGAAGATGGGGTTCGTGGTGCAGTGCTGGGCTCCAGGGCACCAGGATTAAGGGTGTGAGTGCCACCCGCCCTAAGTAGTCTGGATAAGATGAAAAGGGGCAGCGAGACAGTCAACTCTCTCGTTACCTTTGCTGCCTGTGTGTGCCACGTCATTTCACCTCTGTGATGCTCGATTGCCATCCCAGCCTCGGAGCCGGCTGATTATGCACTGAAACCTCTACAACCATAAGCCAAATAAACCCCTCCCCTTCCAATTTTTGGGCTCTGGTATTTTGTCTGGGCAACGAGAGAAATGTAACTAACACAAGGGCTCTGCTTCTGCTTAATTGATTCGTGTTTCTTCTGCCTGTCTCTCCTCATTCTGCTGTGCGCTGTATTTCTCAGTCACAACACTCTTTCTGACAGCTGCTGTTTCCCCCACTTTTACGAATCGCCACATAGCGTTGTTCCAGGTTCCAGTGGCCAAAGAGGCTCAGGTGCCCGACAGGCTAGGTCTGAACCCACGGAGAGTCTGTGTTTTCCTCCTTATTTGAGGGAATCCAGGATTTTGGATTCAGACGTGGAGTGCAAGTAGGCAGATCGTTTGCCTCCATTACCATGTGTTATTTCTCCCAGAAGAGCTGTGACTGCCTAGCCAGAAATTGTATTTCTCGGTCTCACTCCCCAGCTCTGGCCACTTGGGCAAGTGTTGGCGGCGGGAATGTGAGCGGAATGTTTCTGTTAAAGAAATGAATGGCTGATTGTTCTGTCCGTTTCCCCCTCTCCCAGTGGTTAGGAGACTGTGACAAGCAGATCAGCCTGATAGGGCCCCGAAATGGCAGGCACACATCAAGGAAGGCAGATTCTCCCCATTACGTCTACGCTGTTACACAAAAGATGTGAAAATCGTTTGACTTAAGCTTATATGTTGGGATCTCCTTGTTACGTGATGCACCACATGATCCATTAGTTTTGAAGTTTCCTGGCCCATAGGATGTTTGGGAGCCACAGCAGGGAAGATAAGGGCCACGGCAAGCTAAATGGAATGAATCCTCACATTTCTTCTTACCTTTTTGGAGGGGCTTTATTTTATGTGTACGTCTTTCCTTTTTCCCTTTGAACAGAAAAGAGAGAAAATTACAAAAGATTATATTTTATTTTATTTTAATTTTTGGTACCGGGAATTGAATGCAGGGCCTCATGCTTGCCAGGCAGCGGCTGTGCTGCTGAGCTACATCTCTGGCCCTAAGCTTTATAGTTTATATTTACACTGTACCTTTACACATTTGCATGAGAATTTCCCCTTCACAAGAGAAGAAATTGAAAAAGAAATCACTGAAATCAGGCAGAAGCTGACAGCTGAAGAAGGGAGTGTTGAGGAGTTTAAGCAATCATAAATCTCACAACTCGGGGGACTTCCTGTTATTCTGATACTAAAGCTGCAGTCTATGTTTCTAACAAGAAGTTTTTTTTGTTTTGTTTTGTTTTTGTAGTGGGGATCAAACTCAGGACCTTGTGTTTGCAAGGCAGGCGGAGGAACCACTGAGCCAAATCCCTGGCCCTCTAACAAGAAATTAAGAAGTAGAAGAAAAATAAGCCCAATAGAGGAATGAAGCTAAATTTAGGAGGAGAATGTTTTCATCTGATAATCTAGAAATGGTATAACAACAACAACAACAAAGCTCAGGGAAGGAAGAACTATGAATGGTAGACCAAGTTCTTTATGCATTTTAGAGCTTGAAGTCAAAGAATATTATTTTGACAGATCCAGGAGTAACTGTGAAGTGTTTCCAATAGCTGAAAAATAATGTTAATGTCATGGCTCAAAAATAGAATTGGGGGAAAAAACAGTGAACACACACTGATTTTATAAATTTGGGTAGAAACTACCAGGTGCTATCTCAATAATAGTAGAGCTACTATCTATTTTTAGAGTAATTCCAAGAGTAGTGACTAGAACAAAAACACATTTCCTTAGATATGGGCCACATAGGCGCCTACCACTGAAAATGTAGGAATGGGCAAGGGCTCAGCAGGAGTGGGGGTGGAGTGGTGGGATGCACATGGAATGCCCCTCTGCCCCACGTGGCACAGTTTTTGGGTGACTTTATTGGCCAAAAGGAAAATTATATTGTAACAATTTACTCCATTTTAACAAGGCAAAGATTAAAGTGCATTGAAATACAAATGGTTTTTGCCATATATCATTTTAACTTTCTATTTAAATAGGTTAACATATTTAGATATGATGCACGGTGGCAAAGTGATAAATATATATATGAGAATATATATGATGTATATATATATATATATCATATAAATATTAGAATGTAAGCTCCTAGTAGACTGTAAGTTTGATGAGATTTTATTCACTTCTTAATCCTTACTGAGCCATTTAGGAAATAAATTTCTGTTAAATGAATGAAAAATAAAGTATTTACAAAGGAAACAATAAATAAGAGATACCTCATGACTAGGAACATTCCATATTTTAGAGATGTCAGTTCTCTTCCAATTCATTCTATTCAATTTCAATAAAAAGCCAACAGGGTTTTCAAGGGTTGGCAAAATGATATTAAAATTCACAAGAATGAGAAGATGGCCATGACAACAAAATTGAAAAAGAAAAGCAAATGAGACAATATGAGATAAAATTATCATGCTTAACATGTACTGCTGATTGATATGTGTTGGTACAGATAGACCAACGAATCAGGACCAGAAACAATTCCATATCCATCTACTTGTTTATCTATGTTCTTTCCATTCCACAAAATTATCTCTTATTCCAGTAATGGTGGACTCTAGCCCATTTGTATATTTACCCCAAATAGGTACCTTGGAGGGAAGACCAACTATCTGTCATCTTATGGTATGATGTACAAGGAAAAGAAATTGTATTAGGGCTGGCAGTAAAAAGGGAAGTGTGATGAGATCCATAAGGGTGAGGTCTGGTAGTGGGAGGTGTATAAAGAAAAGGCGTCAGTGTTTAGAGAAAAAAAGAAAATAATGTGAAAGTATTTTCAAGGGGCTAGGGATAAGTAGCCTGTAAGTAGCAGGAATGATTGTATGGCATCATAAAGGTGTAGTCTTTTAAAAGATGTCATAGACCTGCTCACCTAAATATTGAAATAATTTTTCACATTTTGTTTTTAGGTGAAGTCAAGGAAGGAAATATGAAAATAAAAAGTTAAAGAGTCTCAAACCAGTTCAGAGTAAAGCAGAAAGGATGAGGTGTTATAGTAGAAAAAAGTCTATATATATTCTGTTTCACCAGTTTCAGATTAATTCCTTTTCCGGTCTTTCTCTATTTGTGCCAATACAATTGAGCTCTAATGGCCTGCTTTACTTAGAAAGTTAACTAATGATATTCCAGGGACTAGTTTTTAAATGCTAAGTCTTCCTAACAAAAGAATCACAGAAAGAGATAAAGAGAAAGTATCTTCGATACATCACTGTGAAAGGAGAAAGAGAATTCTGCACTATAAAACTAATTTACAAGGGTCTGATTTAATGAAGTGTTAGATTGAAAAATGTTATCAAAAGCTATGTCTTATTCTCTAGTAAAATATAGAGATGTGTCTATTTATAATTATTACCAACCCTTCTATTCTCTAAATTTATAATTTGAAGAGTTATTTGAAGGTGATCTTATAATACTTCTCCAAATTAGAAATGATTGCCACTTATAAAACCAATTTTTAAGGAAGATTGTAGTTCTGGCTGATATCTTACTTGATAATTTTTGGCCATAACATTTTAAGTTACACCTGGATTCCTAAACTGTATAAATGTTTGTCAGATTTTACATTAAATCAGTAGCATGCTGATCCCCTCACATGTAATTAGGAAATAAAATGACCAAATATTTCCTGCTAAATAAAAATTTTGAGAGTTTTCTCATTTAAACTCACTCTAATTACTATGTAGTAGAAAAAAGATGTTCATGGTACCATAAAGATTTATACAACATACAAAACTATTCAAAAAGTTATACAAAGGAAATTCCTAGTGGGAGGACATTAGATGAAACATGAATAAATGGGTAAACATCTCTTTTGTCCCCCAATTAATCTGACAATTAGTGGATTTAGAATCACAGGTTCCATAGAGCCTGGGAAGGGGATGGGGAGAGAGCTTCTTGAATTCTCTAAAATTCACCCCAGTAAGTCATTGGGATTATTCCATCTCTGAGCCTTCCTTTCTCTTCTGCAGTTCCTCTAACTGCAAAAGAAAAACTAATATTCCAATAGGCAAAGTCACTGCATGATCCAACTGGTAACTTAAATCATGAAGCAATAGCATGGGAAATATTTTTTAAATTCCCATCTCACATATACAAAAAGAGGCAAATCCCATGTGGATGATAGGTGTAAAATTTGAAGTGACCAGATACTTCACAACATTCTATAAACAAATACAGAACAGTATTTTGTAAGGCTTGAGGTAGAAATAGCTCTTGTACATATGACAGGAAACTAAGGAACCAGTGGGAAAATGGCTGCCAAATTAGACTACAAAAAAAATGTAAAAATTTATTAGGACAAAAGATTCTTTAGGACACAAACTATTAGATTAAATGTGTACACCATAAAAGGATCTCTATTGTCATCATAGTGAGAAAGAGATAATCACCTCAACTGGAAACACCAATATCATCCAACAACAAAGACTTCTAGAAAGAAGCAAAACAAATAGCCAAAAGCAAAAGAGAAGTTCCTGCCACAATGAAAATGAAGATAATGTGTATTAAAGCAGTTCTGCCTTCAAGCCAGCAATACAGAGGAGACCAGCTACCCACTCCCCACACCCCACTCGAACAAGAAAAAGAAGACCTCTCTGAGGATCCTGCAATAAAGGCACACCACACAACCATAGTTGATATTGTAATTGATCTAATCAGTTGTCCTCTCTGGTATAATGACAATGAGTTTGCCTCAGAGACATTAGAGACTCAAAACCTAAAGAACAGCTGTATCTGGAAGATTGAAGTATTAACCCAGGAATTAAAGCAAGGACAGTACCAATGACAAAAATAGAAATGAGAAGGCATTTAAACAAGACACAAACACAGACTTCCACCCCACCAAGGTAAACTCTGGGGGAAATGAGGTGGAAAAGTCTGACAATCAACGATCTGGATACACTGAACTGATAGCACAGGAAGTTAAAAAAAAACTTAAAATGAGGCTCTAGAAAAATTCAAAACAAAAATAATCTCCAGATAAGCACAGAGATGGTGAGAAAAATAAAAGACATGATTAGAATCTCTAGAACAGAAACAGATAAAAAATAGATGAACTCAGGACCATGATGGAAACCATGAATGTCCAGCATGGGAAAGAAATGGAAACCTTGAATGCCCAGCATAGGAAAGAAATAGAATCCATGAAACAGATTCAAACATATCCAAGAGATTAAAAACTCCATTGAAAGCATTTGCAGCAGAATAAATGACTGTGAGGATAAAATTTCAGATATAGAAGATAGCATGGTGGTCAGTGACATGAAAAGACAGATCTCTTAAAAACAATAAGGGACCATGAAAAATAAATCCAACAACTCTTAGATGATGCAAAGAAGAATAATATAAGACTGATAGGAATCCACGAAGTAGCAGGACAAAGTACAAATGACATAAAAAACTGTTCACAGAATTAATGACAGAAAATTTCCCAAACAGAAGGGAAGAATTCAACATACAGATAAGGGAGGCATATACGACTCCAACTAATCATGATCAAAGCAGCCCTGAAATAACACTTTTAATAATTCAACTAAAAAAGTAAAATGTGCTTGTTTTGCTATAATATACTAGTTTAATGATTTAAATATACATGTAAGGAAAACATGTATATCAAATTACCTTATTTAAATAAATAAAACTATACTCCAAAATATATTTATACATGCACAGATACATTCTTGAAAGACCAATGACTATAGAAAACAAACTTTTAAATCAAGATAAAAAATCACAAAGGTATAAGCATTTTGAAAAAAAAGTTGTTACTTTAAAAGACATTCATTTTTGTCATGCAAAAGGTAGAGAAAATAGTGACAATAAATCTCAGCCTTAAAAAACCATTCACTTGTAATGTGAAAATGAAACAAATTCTTATTTGTTCTTACTTCTTTTCCCAATGTCTTTTCCCAAAGTGGAATTGTTTCCCACAGCCACAGCATCTAGAAAGTGACAGATCAGAGAACTGTAACATAAGTCAGAGTTACAAATATTATCATAGAGGGCTGGTGATTTAGCTCAGTAGTTCTGCTGCCCACATTGCAAGTGCAAGGTCCAGAATTCGATCCCCAGTACAAAACAACAACAAAACAAATATTATCATAGTATCATGTCTTTGACTTCCTTATGACAGGTACAGAATTGATGCCTAAGGTCTTTCTTTAGTTCTTCAAGACTTGGGAAATCTCTTAATTATTCAGTTGTAGTTTCCTTCTTTATATAACAGTAATAGCAACAGTTATCTTCCTCAGGCTTTAAATTTTTATGAAGATTAAATAAGACATGCAAAAATTAATAGAAAATCACTAAATAAATAAATTATATATTGGAGGATATCTTTCATTTTTAGTTATCCAGGGTATTTTTCCTGACAGGTACCAGAACCATTTCTATTTCCAGGCCTTTCTAAGGTTGTGACAAAGTGACACTACCATCTGCTGGATCTACCAACTGAAGAATATGGCTTTCTTTGTTTCACAGAGAAGGACAAAAATCATATAAATCCAATCCTTTCATACTGACATGCTTATATAACAAGAGAGACACTGCCATTTTACCAGTGTATTTGTACTACAGCATCCACTTATAACTGGCAAGCCAATCTTGTTAAACATAACTTCCCATTGAATGTTTGCTTCTCTGTGGTTCCCAGAGGTTTGGGTCAAAAAAATACAGAGAACAGGCTTCTGGATTGGGCTTGTTCTTGTCACCATATTCTCACAGCCAAGTACAGCAAGGAATGAGAAGTTCTGGTATTCCCCAGCCTGGGTGCCTGAGGGCCCATTTCCTGGTGGTGAACCAGAGTCTGTCTGATGTTCCCCTTGAGCTCTAAGCACCTGCCATAGTAACACCCTGTTGTCTGTAGTATTTGTGAGCCTTCTCCATCCCAAGACCCTTGGACACCTTACCCATTGTGTAAGATGCTTGCCCATTTTCTATCTTTTCTTCTTGGCCTCCTGGCACACATTCCGAGGAACACATGACACAGGGACATTTATTTCCAGGTCCTTGCAGCTCTGCTCCTAAATTGTGATTTGTAAAAAATGTTCATTTGTTCCCCCCACCATCTAAAGATCCTTCTTTTTCCCAACATTGGTGACTCCCTCCTCCCCACTCCTACATCAAAGGGTGGCTGTACCTCTGGAATCTCTCTTTCATCATTCCTCCCTATGCATAAGTCCTCTCCCTTCATAGGTGATGTTGAGAATTTCCACTCACAGGAAAGTGCTAATTGCTAGTGTATTTTAGAAACAGAGAACAGTGCAGGAACAAAGACTGGTTCTAGGGTGAAGAGATGATGCGTGCCTTTGGAAGCCTTCAGTCTGGAGTTTGAAGGTCTCAAGAGCTGTTCCAGTGATATCTAAGACCTTCAGAACCTTGGACAGAGGCTTCCTGGCAGTTTACAAGGCTGGCTGGAGATGTCTGTTAGGAACTGTTAGGTTGCAGATGGTGATTGAAGCCATAGGAGTGGGTGAAATGCTTAGGTAGGTTTTGTGTGATCTGGGCAAGTGACCGGGCCACTTAAATACCTGAGAACACTTTGAAAACTCACTGCTACTGTGAGGCAAGCTTCACATCAAGTTGCTTTGGTTTCATGTCCATCTCAGATCCTGCAGTCTCTCCAACTCTTCCCTTTTTACATTGTATCCCCTCAAAATTTTTCTCATCTTTTCACACTTTCTCTACATAGTTTCCTTCCTGCCTCATCTTCTATGCCTCTCCTTTGTCACCTCCTGTATATATCTATACCACCAATTTTTCTGCACTCATATTGCTGGAACTATTTATCACTGAGGCAAACTTCTTATTGATCACTTAGCTGTTTTTACAGTGTCAGTCCTTGTCTTTATCCCCATTTCTTTCATTCATATTCAATCTCACCTCACAGATTACTACTGTCTGTATCATCAAATGCCAGCTCTTTTGACAATGACCACACAGCCAGCTCTATTACTTTTGCTAGTTCCCTGAGAGCTTTCTATGTTGCAAGCCCATCACAGACTTTGTTTCCATGTTTCTGGTACAATTTCTGAGAGGAAACTTGGAAATCACCTCCTTTCTCCCCAAATTCCCACTCTGGTATACTTGGATCTGTGTCCACTTAGGAGAACTTGGAACTTATTCAGATATCTTCTCATTTGATAACCTAGCCTATCTTTCCCATTCTTTCTCTTCATGCTATTCATTCCAGGTCATCCTCCCCATCCAGGAATCCTGTTCTTCTTTCTCATTTGGCCCCACAGACCTGTAGAAAGCAGTTATAAGTCTGGGGATAGGTGTGTGTGTGTGTGTGTGTGTGTGTGTGTGTGTGTGTGTGTGTGTTTGGAAAGATAAAGCATTGTTCCTGCTTGTGCAAAACAAAACAAAAATAATTAATATTATCACAGTTGGCTTTTCCACCACATGCTAGTAGGTCTAATTCCTTCTAACTCTCTTCTTCTAGTCATTTAAATATCTTAGATTGACAAGATACTGATGAGAAATAAGAGAACAACAGTCTATAAGCTATAGAGGTGACCAGGAACACAACCCAACATAGTTATGTGGCACACTCAACTGAGCTTAGAAAACGACACCACTACTCAGCAGCCACCTCAGATCCAACAGAGACTCAGCCTCTTTTTCTTTGTGGCCACATTTCGCTCTCCTTTTCAGTCCCCACCCACTGCCCTGCCTTTATGCATTTCTAACTCTGTCTCTTTGGAAGTCACCAATATTGTTCTTTCAGTGATGCTCTTAATCTTTGTTCTGCCTTTTGTTTCTCTATTAATCCTTTCTAGATTTATTCTTCTAGCCACTCTGTATACAGAATAGTCAGCTCTTTTCCTACCCTGTCTGTCTGTGACTTTCACCTTCCCCTCTCTATTGAAATGTATTTGTCTCAACAGCTATATCTATATGGAAAGAGAGAAAAAGTGAAAGGGAGAGAGAGAAAGATAGAGGAAAGGGGAGTGGAAAGAGGGAGGGAGGCAGAGGGGGAAGGAGAGGGGAAGGGGGAAGGGGAAGGGAGAGGGAGAGGGAGAGGCTGTCAGAAAAATCTATACACACTTTAGCAGTCACTGTACTAACAAATGTCTGGAAGCCAATGGCCACCACTTTGAGCACCTCTTGTAATTGCAGAGGCCAAAGGTAACTTGTATTAATCTGATAATGTCTCAATATTTTTTATACAAGTTTTTCTTTTTCTGATGTATACATTTTTTGCCAGACTCTGTATATTATACGTATATTTTACACATATCTATATATATTATATATTATACATAATTTGTATATATACACCCACATGTGCATGTTACACACATATTTTATGCAATATATTATATATATTATTTGCTTTTGTTGTTAAATAAGCTTTCTTTCTTGAATCAGGTACCAATGAATTTCCCTGTGAATATCCTGGGTCACTTTTATCACCTCTTTAAATTCTGATCGTGTTGCATAGCTCTTTTCTTCTTGTTTGTTACACATGATATTCATTCACTGTGAGATACTTGGATTGTTAGTGACTATTGTTCCTTTAGGTTTCTGGCCCTTACAAGTGTGTACATCTATTTTCTTTACCCAAAATGAGGCTTGCAAGAGTTAGCCTGCTTAAGTCTTAAGGGTTTTGTGATGACAGAATATTTGTCAAAGCACACTAAAGTAGCACAATCCAATCCAATTACACTGTGAAGGACATTTGTCAAAAACTATACTAACATTTGAGAGTGATTGATCCAAAGTTTTTATTTCTGTCTATAATTACATAGCAGGACCAGTTGTCTTTTGAGGTTTCTACAAGTACAAGTGACAAATGACCATTATATCAATAGAAATCTAGGACCCTTGTGTTACCAGGCATGACAGTGGTTATTAATAAAGATAACATCATATTGTCATTTATTTCTTCTATAATAACAATATATAATCACAAACATTTAGCAAGACTCAGCTTGGTAACATGAGTTTATAATAATTTTCTGCCTCCTTTCATTTTCTAAAGTTATGAGAAGGAGTTCCCAGGATTGACTGGATACAAGGCAGTCAAGGTGCTCAGAAATATAGTTGCTTTTAGTTCAGATTCCTGACATCCTGCAGGCCAAGTCTTGGTATCCTAATCTTCTTTACCTGATCCACTTCTTAGTGTTTCTAGATGCTCTTCTCTGTGATTCAGTTTAGGAGAACCACCACTGCTGACCCCTGCAGGAAGGAGGAAAATGCTAATGCTCTTTTGTCTTAGGAACCACCCCAGAGGGGAACTGTTTAAAAGGAAATGGGAAAAGGGAAGCTTGTGTGGGAGGGTTAGGAATGTCCTATTACCAGCTACCTTCTGGCTTTATCTGATCCACTGGGCAAGGTTGTTCCAGGAACCATCCCAAGGCTGGGGCTGAAAACAACTTTGCCAACAACTCCCTTTCATCACCATTTCTTACATTTCTCACCTTCCACTTGTTTGCACACATTTCTGCTTCCGCCTCTTTTTCTCCAGAGGGACATGGAAGCAACATTTAAAAGGTATCAGTGCCTCCACCAGCTGAGCCCTAAATAATGGTGCTGAGCAGAATGCACTTTCCACTTGGGAACTATTTCATTCTCTTTCTATGGATGAAAAATAAACTTGTATTGTGCTTGTGCCATTGTACACTTTGAGGCCCATGTGTTACAACAGTTAGCCCAACCCAACTAATTCAAAGTGTATACTGTGAATCATCTAAAGATCCTAACAAATCTATCTTGTTATTTCAAAGGATATTACAATTTTTCTGAATGAAGCTTTTGTGGCAAAGGGAAGTATTTGTTACACCAAGAGTTTTTAACTGGCCTTACATCTTTTCCAATTGTGTGTCCCTGACACAGATGGTTTTCCAGTATTCTCAGGCTCTAGAAAGAAAAGAAAGTTAAAACCAGTGATCTATAACTACAAGGGTTATAAATTTTATGACTTACATTGCAGACAGGATTTGGATTATGAAGATGCTATGATGATTGATTCTGTTTTCATTTTAAGAACAGAGTTCTCCACCAAATGGGGTAGAGACCCAAAATTATTTAGCCCTAACTGCAAAATCAAAGCCACTTTGAAAATCAATCTGCATTTGTAGGTTGCAAATGACTAGTTCAGCAGTGAATCTGGACTTGTGTTGCCATGAGTCCCTCTAAAACACGAGCATATTTGTTGTGAATATTCATACAACTTTCTGTAGAACACTAAGATAGTATATTTAAGAATGGGATTCTGCCACTAGAGTATATTGGAGGCCTTTTGCAATATAGATTACAAACCACCTTGTCTTTCTAAAATAATAAAGCATTTTTGAATTCTAAAGTATACCTGGCTTCAAAGGTTTTGAAAAAGGATCAGAGACATTTGCTGAGTCCGGGGGGTTAGTTAGGCTTCTTCCAGTAACTTTCTACAGATAATATGTAAAAAGCCTCAGTGGTTTAAGTGCCAAAGTCTCCCCATGTTTGAAATAGGAGAAGCAACATTTATTTTGCCTACTTTTTGGTTGTTCTAATGATCAATGGAGACCTCTACATGCAAAAAGCATTTTCAGTTATCACAATGTGGGTAATGTCATGTGTAGAAACCAAGTTTTCTGATAGAGGTGGGCTCCCTCTTTGCCCTTTGCCCAGATTGAGGTGGGCCCCCTCTGTGCCCTTTGCTCAAGACAGAGAACTGCAAAAATTCCATTCTGTCCTAGGCAATCTCCACCCTGTGTTTCAGTTCCTCTTTTTATGGCCCAAGGATGAATCTTCTTCCTGATAGTTGCTTAAGATAATCACATGTTTTGTTAATTATAGAATTTGATTAATCAAGTGTTCTTTAGAAAGAGGAACTTGATTCTGTGCACCTCCCCACCCATAGGTATTAGTAATTTCCAGTAAACACGCCAAATATCCAAGTATAATCAAAAGGTAAAAATAGCATCAATAAAAAGGGAGAGCCTCCCTAACCCTATATAATCCTGCTTCAAAGATGGGTCTAGACTCTCGTTTTCTGATCCTTTCAGTCGGTGAAGTACGAGAATCCAGGCTCGAGCTTGCAATAAACTTCTCATGTAATTGCATTGGACCTGACCCCTTGGTGGTCTTTGGGGACTTGGTGACTTGGGCACAACATTTGGGGGCTCGTCCAGGATCCCCAGGACCCTAGGACTCACTCTGGAGGAGACTGGCTGGCCTGTTGTGTGAATGTAAGTGTTGAGTTTAAGGATGTGTTTTTTTACTGTGTGTTTTGCTTTCCGTCTATTCTTTTTTTTCTTTCATTTGTGGAACAACGAAAGAATCTTTGCAAGGAAGGCCCCTGCTTTCTCGGATTGAATGCAGGGAGGGGCTGACCAGGACTGAGATGGACGTGTTAGTCAGTACCTAACAGGCTCGGGTCTTGGGAGACGTTCCAGGCCCCTGCATTCGCAGATCAAACGCAGAGTTCGTGGATCAAACTCCAAACTTCTTTCTTTCTGTCTTTATTAAGGTGAAGTGGGTCGCTCCCATGACGGTGTTGTTATGCCACCGCCTGTGTGTGATATTTGGTGTTTTTTGGTGTCCTTTGTGATTGTGTTTTTTCTGTTGGTTTTGTGTAGATTGTGAATAGTTTTATGTGGACAAAGATGGATGTGATCAATAATAACGGGACTGTCCCAAATTAAATTATTCCCCTCTTCTTAATGATTGAACACTTTAAAGAAGTGAAAGCATGAGCTCTTGGTTTGTCTGTGAAAGTAAAAAAGGGAAGTATCAAATTATTGCTGTTTGGGAAATCCCCCTCATTGGTTAAAACCTCTTTTGCCCTCACAGCTGCAGGAGCCAATATTGGTTACCAAAGAGAAGGAAAATTCTGAGGATCTGGCTCCAAAAACACCCAACTAGATTGCTTTCTCATTAATTTTAAATTGGCTTTTTCCCTGAGCAGGAAGATGAATACAGAGTCAAATTCTCCAGGGGGAAAGAAGGAACTAACTGACACAGCCCATATTGGACTTTAACCCGAGTCTCACTGGAGAGAGCAACTGCCTGCCTCCTTGAAAGGGAAGAGGTGTGCCCCCGGGATTTCCTGGGTTCCCTTTCTAGGAAGCAGAGGCCAGCTCACCGGTAGCAGAACAAAAACAAAAACAAAACAAAACAAAAAAATGAATAGATCTGAATGGTGAGATCCCCTGGGTTGTTCCCTAGTTTGTCTTTGAAAGGGGCCCAGGGAAGGGAATGTATTAATCTCTTATGTTACTGTGTGTATGAAAGAGGCTTGGTTAGGAGAGTGAGTGAAACGAGCTACGAAAGCTATCGGTAGCCTCGTCTTTGCACCAAAACAAAGGGAGGGGGCACTTGTGCTTAAAGAGCCCTCCTGGAGTTGCGGAGCTTGTGTGGGTCAGTCCTGCAAGTCTGGGGCCATGCTTAAGAGGACATAATGGAGACTCTTGTGGCGAGAAACTCTCCTTTAGTCCAAGTGGGCCTGAAAGAGCTGGAAAGCGCAGAACCAGGCTGGCAAATGAGACACCCCACCCTTTGTTTGTCTTGCATCATCGGACAAGGGAATATCTAATGGCTATGGAAAAATGTTAATATTAAACCAACTGTTGGGCCAGGGATTTAGCTCAGTGGTTCGGTGTCCTGCTTGCAAGCACAAGGACCTGAGTTTAATCCCCGGTACCAAAAACAAAACAAAACAAACAAAAAAAAAAAACCCAACTGTTTTTAAGTATATAATTTAGAATTTTAATAAAAATTTTATGGGGGACTATAAGATAAAACTGCAATCAAAGATGTTTATGAAACCTTGTGAGTTATCATGATCTCAGCTAAGCCAGACTTTGCCCCCAGAACAACTCTAGATAAAAGTGAAGTTATCTGCCTTTGTTTCACTTATCTGAAACTTTAATAATTTGGAGCCTAATGTATTCTAAGAGCTGTTCAAGCTTCTGCTCCATGGTAATCAGTTATTAGTGCAAACTATTTAGTTTTAATAAATTTGCCTCTCAGGAACTGTGACATTGTTGCAGGCAAATCCCAGTGTTTCCCTTTTTTGGAGAAAGTTAAGCTGCTTCCCCCTCCCAGAGCTGCTAAAATAGAAAGTGTGGAAGAAGTAAAAAGCAAGAACAAAATTGTTTAGCTCTATTGCACCAGAGGGTGCAAATAAAAAATATGTTAAAATTTTAATTATTTGATAAATGTATCTTTGTTTTAATTTAAATTAAGTTTAATGGGTGTGTTTAAAATATTTCTTATGCATTGCAAATTCTTGAATTATAATTGTAAGGTTAATTTGTTCTTTTATATTTTGTTGATAAAAATTCAAGGTTAATACTGTTCTATGGGTAGCCAATCAAATTTTCAGATGTAATAATCTGAGAACAAGAAAAGAACATTTTAAGATTTTAACAGTTGAAGTTTGTTATAGAAAGTTAATAATAAATGAGACAGAGGAAGATATTAAGAAAGCTATGGGTAAAAGAGATATACTTTTGATATGAAAAGATTTTGTATGTATGTCTTGTTAAAAAGATATAAAGAAAGATGTGTAAGACCAGAAGGCTTGAGTATGTGGAGAAGGTATGTGGAAGTGATTTAACAAAAAATATGCATGTTTGCTTGTTGGTTTGAAGTTCATTACAGAAGATTTATTTTTATAGTAACAAAGAGTTTTCATTCCTTTTGATTCTAATTCTATGAGAGATCTGTTAATTGACCTACAAAAGCTTTGATTAGTCACAATTAAGAGATTTTATAATTCAATTGGACAAATATTGAGTATATTATAGTTTTATAAATTGTTTTATATGTTTGTCTGTGCTCAATATGTTAAAAGGTGTTTATCCAATTATATTTTGATTAAAATGATAAAAAGGATATTAATAATTTGTTAATTTCTATAATCTGGCTTTATAAGTCAAAATTTTGACAAGATAATTAAATATAAATTCAGGTCTAAATAGACTCCTGTTAATAGTAAAAGGATAGCTGCTCAGAAAAAATTCATTCTGGCCATTATCCATTAGTGACCTTCTCAGAAGATATCCCCAATAAATATGGTTAAATATGTTGTTATAAAATGTTTATATTGGTTATCATCAAAAAATTAGATTTTAAATATGTTATTGTGAAGTGTTTATAGTGCTTATTTTCAAAATAAGATTTTTGTAAAAACATAGATTGAGATTCTATTAAAATGTTTTTAATATCTGATTAAAGGGTATAAAATTTCATATATAAAATTATGATTATTGTTAATTTTCTGGTGTACTAAAGAAACAGGGTACTAAGAGACTTAATGTTGTTTTAAGAGACAAGAGATAAAGTTTATGTTGCTTAAAAATAAAAAGATTTAAAGTAGATGAAAAAAATTTTTGAGATAAAGGGTTTTTAAAAGATCTAAATTCTCTTTCTATATAAATCTTTAAAGGGCCTGGAAAGATAATAATTATTATAAGATAAAAAATAAGAGTCAGCATTTAAATAACTAAAACTAATTCTTCTGCCCCCTGTATCAGGGATCCTAAATGCGATCCAGCCTTTCAGTTTATATCTGACTAAAAAAAAAAAAAATCATATTGTTCTAGGGGTGCTCACTCAAGAAATAAGCCCATAAAATTAGCCAGTGATATATTTATCTTAGAGTTTAGATCCAGCTGTAAAAAGGTTCTCTTTGTTTATAAGCCCTTCTAGCTACAGTAATGCCAATTAAATAAGTTGACCAGGTAACCTTAAGAAAAAGTAAATTATTCAGTTTCTCCACGCCTTTTAGAACTATTAAATAATAGGACATTAATGGCTCTCAAATAATAGAGTCACATAATATCAAGCCCTCATCTGTGAAAATCCCTGCCTATATTTTGTTCCAATTAAAACCTTAAACCCTGCTACTTTTTGCCCTTGGAACCTGGCCCCCTGATCACAACTGCCTTGGGGTCACTAACAAATTGTTCTACAGTCATCCAGATCTGCAAAAAGACCCGCTGCCTGAGGCTGACTTTGTCCTGCTCAAGGATGGGGACAACTTCATGGAAAATGGGATAAGCTATGCTGGCTATGCAGAGATGACTCAAAATAAAGTGGTCCAAGCAAGACCCCTCCCCACTGAATTGGTCAGCTCAATGAGCAGAACTGTGGGCACTCATATAGGCTCTCTGATGGGCAAAAGAAAAGAGGGTAAATGTTTCTAGAGATTCCTGATTGCCACTTAGCATATCTATGGCATAGTCTATACGGGTGTGGTCTTCTCACAGCAGAGGACAAATTTATTAAAAATAAACAAGATATAATATAGTTATTTAAGGCAATGCAGAAATCTGACAAAGTAACTATAGTAATTCAAGAAAAAAAAAGGATATAGTAGCAAATGACAATGCTAAGATAAGCATATAAGCCAAAAGGATAACTAAACAGAAATTTTAGATGATTATACCCACCCCCTATAAAGGTTATAAATATATTTTAATGTTGGTTTATACTTTTCTAAATGGCCTGAGGCCTTCCCTATAAAAACAAAAAGGGCTTCAGAAATATGCGAGATTTTATTAAAAATTCCAAAGTTTCGACTGCCTCCCTCCATAGGCAGTGATAATGGGCCAGCATTTATAACAGAGGTTAAATAAGATCTAGCTAAACTGTTATACTGCTTATTGATCTCAGAGTTCTTATAAGGTTAAAAAAAATGAGTTGATCTGCTCCCTCTGGCCTTAAATTAAAAACTATCCAAGTCATATTGGGTTCTCCTCATGTGAGGTCTTGTTTAAAAGGCCACCCTGTATCTTGAAATTTTATAAAATTATCTCAACTGGGCTTATCCAGTATAAGATCACAGCTGTTAAAACTGGGCAAATATTTCAAAATATTCAAGGATAAATTAAAACCGGGAAAAAAGAGACCCAGTAACGGCTGTGACCTTGACAATATTATTAAAAATGGGTATCACAGGGGCTAATATTGGAGCCGCCCTCATTACACAACATCAGCAATACAATGGCCTGCGGATGACAATTGATCAAGATATTGAAAAAATAAAATTGTCAATCACTAAATTACAAGAGTCTTTCAGCTCCCTTGCTGAATTGACTCTGCAACTTAAAAAGAGGGATAGATCTAATTTTCCAACAGCAGGGAGGCATGTGTGCAGCCTTGGGAAAAAATGTTGTTATTATACTGATCATTCAGAAATAGAGATTCTACGGCTAAAATTTAAAAGGGACTAAAAAACAAACAAACAAACAAAAAAAGAAAATACAAAGCCAAGGGTGGTTTGAGAGTTGGTACACTTCATCCCCCTGGCTAATTTCTTTACTTTCAGCCTTAGCTAGATCTTAGGTTTAATTTTACTTGTAATAGGATCTTATATAATTAATAAGTTGATTGCTTTTATTAGGCAGAAAATAAGTTCTGTACAATTGATGATACTGAGACAACAATATCAGCCTCCTCCTGAAGACAAAAAGTCTCAAGTGTCCAAGAAAAATTATAATGTCCCCTTTCTGTCTAATCCTTTTTCTCTTTCTAAGGGCCAGATGTGCATTTAGCCCAAGCATTCTAAAGGTAGACAAGTTCTTTGGGACCATCAGAAAAAATGGATCTGACCAGCGGCCCTGGAATGGCTCTCAATTCTGTATCCTAAAAAACCTTGTCTTTATTGTGTCACCAAAGTTTGGGGGTGGTTGGGCAAAAGAGTAAATGAGTTAATCAGAATAAGAGACACAGCTTTTGTTACAGGATATTGTATACAACATAGCTTAAAATTCAATCTGGTGAAAGATCTGAGACCAAATTGGGTAATGGAGAGCCTTTGGAGTAGTTGGTTCCCAATAGGTAGAGCTATAAAATTTTTAGTACACCTTTTCTGCCATTACCCTACTTTCCCTACACCCTATCCCATAGTTTATCCCTATTGGATCTATTGGGATGCAGTGTTCCTCAAGTCACTAGAACTGACTCCCTTAAATTAAAAAACCAGAGATTATATAAGACACAGTTGTGGGACCTAAGGCCTAGATACCTAAAAGAAGCTGAAAAACACTGATATAAATGCTCCCTGTCTAATAGATATATTCCTCTTACCTCCCCTAGACCTCTCCAAGAATTAGCAACAAAAAAGCTCCTACAGGACTCCAGATCCAAAATAAAAGAACTCGAGGTACATCAAAACTACCACCGGCACAAATGATACAAGACCCGACCCTGATCTCAAGGACCTAGAAGACCCTTGCCCCATTTTTTAGGTTCCACAATGCCCCTATTCAGCAGGAAATAGTTTTACGAGGACGACGCCCCTATGTCACAAGATTGGGTCCCTAAGGTCCTTGAGAAGGGGGGAATGTAGGAACCAAGTTTTCTGATAGAGGTGGGCTCCCTCTTTGCCCTTTGCCCAGATTGAGGTGGGCCCCCTCTGTGCCCTTTGCTCAGGACAGAGAGCTGCAAAAATTCCATTCTGTCCTAGGCAATCTCCACCCTGTGTTTCTGTTCCTCTTCTTCCACCCTGTGTTTCAGTTCCTCTTTTTATGGCCCAAGGATGAATCTTCTCCCTGATAGTTGCTTAAGATAATCACATGTTTTGTTAATTATAGAATTTGATTAATCAAATGTTCTTTAGAAAGAGGAACTTGATTCTGTGCACCTCCCCACCCATAGGTATTAGTAATTTCCAGTAAACACACCAAATATCCAAGTGTAATCAAAAGGTAAAAATAGCATCAATAAAAAGGGTGAGCCTCCCTAACCCTATATAATCCTGCTTCAAAGATGGGTCTAGACTCTCGTTTTCTGATCCTTTCAGTCGGTGAAGTACAGGGGTCCAGGCTCGAGCTTGCAATAAACTCCTCATGTAATTGCATCAGACTAGACTCCTTGGTGGTCTTTGGGGACTTCACAACTTGGGCATAACACATGTTGGCTACCATCTGTCAAAAGCTATGTGTTTAATGGTGATAATCAAAAGGGTTTCTTTATGTCTTTGTTTGTTTTTTGTTTTTTTGAGACAGGGTCTCACTATGTAGTTGAGGCTTCCCTGAAACTCACTATGTAGCCCAGGTTGGTCTTGAACTCACATTGATCCTCCTGCCTCAGCTTCCCGAGTTCTGGGATTACAGGTGTGAGTCACCACGCCCAGCTTCTTTATGTGAATAATTATAGAATAGCCAGGGTCTTTTGAATTTTAAACAAGTTTGTAACAAAACTGAGCAATAGCAAGTGATGTCTTCCTTTTCTCTACAAAGTAGAAGATGGGCAGAAGTGGAAAGCATGCTGTTAGGTCAATTCTTTGGGGCCAACAGATCTGGTGGTATGTGATAAAAAGTGTGTTGTCATTCAACTGCAGTCATCTTGTTAAGCTTGGATTTATAATTTTTTTTTTTTTGCAATTTTCAAACTATCCAGAGGAGGTAAAGGCAAAGTGCAAGTTCCCAAGACTGCCTGGACTGTGCTGTGGTGTGTGCTCTGAGTAAATCGTGAGCTCTGAACTTGGACCGCGGTGTCTTGGAGGTGGGAGGACAGGCCTTACCTGTTGTACTCAGCCTACTTCTGCATCGTAGGCTGCAGAAGTCGATTTGGGGGAGTGTCTCTTCCTCACTGGATTCTGAAGAGTTGTAGTCATGTTCTCTCCCTGCGGAAAGGACCAAATGTCCCCAGAGGCTCTCAGTGTGTTACAAGGAAACCAAGACAGGATAAGAATGTTCTCTATTAAAAGACCTAGGGAAAACTTTAAAAGGCTGGCATTCCAGGTCAAGAATGTCCCTCCCACAGACCACTGTGATATGTCTGCTTCTCAAATTCATTGTGCCCTGTAGGTTAATATTTCATCCTTCACTGCCACCTGAGCTTGAGGTTGAGAAGGTTTTGTCTTAGCCCTCTGTCTTCTTACACTGTATTATCTTTTTTCTTTTATTTGCCCTTTTGAGGATCTGTTGTGGGTTCTGTATCAGTATTTATATATTTTTATAACTTTGTTTATTTCTCGGGGCAATCAGAAATTTGGTACTGAAGAAAATGGACCTTCTACTTGACTATAAGGGTCACTCCTCTCTCCCACATAAACCTTAAGAAAAAACTTAAAACTTCTGTTTAAAAAATTTTAAAAAATGTTTGTTATGTTTGTGTCATTGAATTCTTTGGGACCATATTTTACAGCAGTTTATTCTACCTAACTAATACAAAAAGTTAACGTAGAAATCTTCTAAAATTAAACCATGTTTGTATTTTAGTTTGAAGACCAACCATAACAAAGAATTAGAGTTAATCTCTTGTAGAAACTATGGTTCATCAATGTCTTAGTTACTGTTCTCTTGTTGAAACTAAATACCTGACACCCAAAGTTAAAGGAAGAAAGGTTTATTTAGCTCACACTTTGCAGAGGTTTCCATTCATAATTGGCTGGCTCCAAGGCAGGGTAGCTTGGCAGATGGGCATAGCAGAGGAGAATCAGTTCATGGCAAGCAGAAGACAGGAAAAGCAAGCAAGCAAGCAACAGCTAAAGCTCTTTCTATCCCTTATATTTTATCCAGGCTACTTAGTAGCACTCATACCCTTAATCCTAGGGCCCTTGAGCCTAGCATTGTACTATGAATCAATCCCAGTGTCACACACTCTAGATTCAGCCACCTCTGAAAAAACCCCACCTATGACCACATGAGGCTTTGGGGAGACAGCTAGACACAAGCCATAATAATTTATAACCATATTTTCTTTTACCTCTTTTCAGAGGGCTTTTTCTGAATGTTTTGAAATCCATAGGGTCTGTAAGAAAAAGGGAGAAAAATAAAGAGAGAAAATCATTATTTGTACACAAAAGACAAGGGCTATGACAACTCACACAGCAGACGGGCTTGTAATCCTAACCAAGTTTTCATGAACATTTTACTTTCTTTCCTTCCATTCAATCTGGTTCTGTAGGCCCAAAGTAGTAAGGTTGGGATCCAACCTGGCTTTAAAAACTTCCTTATGTAAATTTGTAGATGACTCTTAACCATTGCTAGCTCCATTTTTTTCATCTATATAGTAGGGATAACCTGGTTATCACACCTCCCTGTAGAGGTTTTTGTGATGATGTTATGAAGATTCATTTACAGAAATCCAATAAAAATCACAATGTATGCCAACCATGCATCTATAATTTGGGTTCAAACGTAGTTGAGCTGAAGTCATTTCTAGCCAATCAAAAATTAAATAACAGCACAAATTATTCTTTGATGAGTTTAAACTTGTGACTAAAGATAATACTAATGAATAGAGGAATACTGTGCTTACAATGTTCTGTAAAAGGTAAAGGGGGATAGAGAATAAGTACATTGTTTCAGTTCTTCAGTATTAAAAGACTGTGTAATAAAAAGGACTAATTTCATTAGCATATTTTTGCTATGTTTTCATTGTATCAATTATCTGGACCCATCCAGTTAAACAACAGTTTGTAATGCCTTCTTGACATGTTTCATTTTCCAATAACTTAGGGAGGTTAAAAACAGAAAATGGTTCCTTAGAAGTTCGAGAATCACAGTGTATAGGGAACACTCAGAATAAAATTCACCAGGCCACAGAGGTCTGGATTTGGACTCCGATATTCTGTCACCTAGGAGTTGCAACTCTGACATTCTTACTTGGTGTACTCTGACGGGAGCAAGTGGCTTCTTGGGTCTCCTCTTCCTCACTTGCTTCTAATGGGTCATGGTCACTGATCACTGAATAAAAGAATAGAGACAGTTAAAATATAAATGATTTAGAAAGCAAAATGAAAGATCCACATTACGATGCAAAGAGGCAGACCTTGTAGAGATGGGAAAAGCACTTGTGACAGTGAAGGGCGGGGAAAGGAGGGGAGGAGGGGGGACAAGGATGATGAGGATGTGACACGAATGTGTAGCAATCCCCCATGCTGGCTGTAATCGCTATGTATCTCAGACATACACTAATAAAAACATTTAAAAAATAAGAGTAAAATTTCTTAGGGGTTTCAGTTGTGACCGAAGAACCAGTCCAGTATGACATTCCCTCACAGGAAAACTGGGAGAAACCTCGAAAGCCCACGCCTTTCTAAACAACCTGCCTGGTTGGATAGTGACACTCCATTCTTGTCCCCAGAGGTGGAGACGATTCTCTGGTAAGGGATATCTTAGTGTGGCATGGCCCTTTCTCCCTGTACTTGTTCCTTTTACTTCTTACCCTTTCTACTTCTTATCCTACAATTCCACCTCTGTTCTGCATGCAGATGACCTTCAAATCTTACGATAAAGACGAGCTTCTTCTGCCCCTACCAGTACAGTGCCTCCTTGAGCCTTTTACAAAGCTGAGAATAATCTTTTGTGTTTGAGCTGTAGATGTATTTGGGAATGATTTTTTTTTTTTTGGGTGGGGAGTGGTTTTCTCACACTGAGGTAAACGTATGCACTGCCTAAAAATGGAAGCAAATTGACATTTTCCTTTAGACGATGTCGTAAGCAATTGGAATGAAGATCTTTTTTTTTTTGGTACTGGGAATCAAACTCAGGATCTTGCACTTGTGAGGCAGGCGGTGGGGCCACTGAGCTAAATCCTTGGCCTGAAAACTCTATTTTACATGTTGTTCTTTTGTAACCTCAAGACCAGGTAACATTTCCATTCACTCCTAGGTCTTAGTGTGTTTCCCCTAAACAGGCATGTCTCTAAAATCCTCCGGATCTAGAAAGTCAAAAGGGAAAACAAATCACCAATTTGCACATTATAGAGTTTTTAATTTTATAACAATGCTTGTGGCAGAGAGGTCTGAGAAAACCCATTTTGATAAAGCGCTTCTTTTTCACCATTTACAAAATGAGTAACTCAGAATCCAAGATGCTAGACTTTTTTGCTCTGTAATTCTTCATGAAATGTCACAGAAGAGTTTGAAGTATTTCTGTGATCGTGTTTTCTCATCTAGGATTCTACAGTGTCTACCCTGCATGCCCTTTAAGGGTCTGTAAAGAAGAAAATAACAAATTATTTGCAAGAGTCTTTTTAAAAAAATCTCTCCATGTTGCTAAACAATGTTGTTAAAAACAATACTTTGGGTTCCAGAATACTTTATCTCAAATCTTCATTACTACTAACATTAGATAGTTGAATGAGTTTCTTTTTGACGCAATCTGAAATTTGGGGCCAGATAACATGATGATCTCCCAAGAGTATGTAGCTTTTTGTTCTCTATAGAAATCACTGGATATGACTATCTCTTCATAGCATGGTAACTAATTTGTGTAAAAAAAACCCAGACTCATTACTCTGCTAGCCTATACCAACTACACAATCAATGCATATATAAATAGAATTATTAGTAACATGAATCCCTCAAAATAAATTTGTGATGTTTTCTCGTGTCCCTGCATTGCCTAAAATGGTTACATAAAATCAACACTGAGAATAAGGTTCTGGGAGAAACTGGATGCCTCATGCAGAATGGGTCATAGTAGAACAGCGTCTCTGAAGTCACCATCCTGCCACCCGCGTCCTGCTCTCCCGGCCTTCCTCACCAGGCTTTCGGCTCAGGGCTGAGGTGCAGGCTTTGAGGGTCTCCTCTCCGTCGCTGAGCTCTTCAGAGTCGTCACTGCTGATGACTGCACAAAGGAGCAAAACCCTCTGAGAGTCTCGGGCTGACCAAGGGGCCCATGCAGCTCGGGATCCCACTGTAACAGCTCCAGGAAGCTAAGTGGGGTCAAAGCCCTGGTCTGGTCCTCAACTGTGAAGACGGGTACAGGGCCTGATCTCAAAGTGAAGATCCAGCCCACAGATACGATGACATCCTCCCTCATTCTACTTCTTATTTTCCCTACTGTCACCTGACCTGTTTCTTTCACTCTCACTTTACTTCATGGTCTTCTCCCTGCTCCTGCCCTGGCGTGTCTGCTGATGGCATTTCCTTACACCTCTCTGTCTCGATGTGATCTTCTCATCTCCTCTCATGAATGCTGTTGTTCCCCGATTTTCTCCCTCTCTTTTCTGTTGTTTTTTTTTTCTGGTTTTTTTGAGACAGGGTCTCACTATGTAGTTAAGACTGACCTGGAACTCACTATGTAGCCCAGACTGGTCTCAAACTCACAGCGATCCTCCTGCCTCGGCCTCCCGAGTGCTGGGATTACAGGCTTGTGCCACCACGCCTGGATTCCCCCTCTCTTACCCAGACTGGTCAAACTCACAGCGATCCTCCTGCCTCGGCCTCCCGAGTGCTGGGATTACAGGCTTGTGCCACCACGCCTGGATTCCCCCTCTCTTTTTCTTTAACTCCTACCTCTTGCCTTCTTCTCTTCCTTTACAAAGAGCCTTTTGACGTGGATCATTTTTATGATCTCCATTTCTGCCTTTCAGATTTCCTCCAGTTTCTAAGAACTTTCTTGTGCTGAGCTAAACACTCACTTCAGCTTGCACAGGTGCTGGCCTCCTCCCTACCTGTCTCTGTCACAGGCCTTGCTGGACACTGACTGCACACCTGAGACCCTTCCCCGGGAGTCTGCTCCGAGCTTGGAAGAGTTCCAAGTCCTTTCGTGGCCTTACCTATTACATCAGTTGCCTGCTCACATTTAGCCCTGCGTTGGGCTCGTTGCTCATCTTCCGAGAAGAATGGTTTTTCCTTCTTTATATCCACCAGAAGCACAGAACAGGAGCCAACTTGGATTCCTTGGCTGTGCAGCTCTGTCCCTGGGGTGAATTGTAATGAAGAAAGAACATTCATCTCACTCCTCCACAGGCTCCTTCCTGCTTCTCACAGTGGGGAATGAACCTTCATCCTGACACCTCTTCCCTTTCTATTGCTCAGTTCTGTCCTTTCCTTTGTGTCCCTGTTGGTGCTGTTTTGTTTCCATCTTTCCCTGTACTTATTGTTCTGCTCCTTTGAAAGATAAGTTTTACTTTCTTAGAAAGAAAAGTTATGGCCACAATACGATATACATAGATAAGAGTGGGTTTTCAGTGGTCACAAAGGAAGCCATGCTGCTTTGGTCAAGAAGCAGATTCCCAAAAGTCTAGAAGACTCTTACTGACACTTCCCACTAATGGTTCTCATTGTCCCTCTCAAAGTTGACCCCATCTTGATTTCCCACACCTAGATACATTTTGACTTTTATATAATTTAAAGAAATTGAATCATTCTCTCCCCACCCTATGGCAACAGAAACATGTTTGTGAGGGTCATCTGTGTTCATTTGGTATAACCCTTTTCACGACTATATAGTATTCCATCACAGAAATAAGCCATAAATTCATTTATCCAAATATGCTGTTTTATGTGTTTGCCCTTTATGAACAATGCTGCCTCGAATATTCTTTCCTATGGGTTTTGATGAACATAATATGCATTTCTGATTGTTCCTGCTTCAGAATGTAATTCCTGAGTTCTAGCGTGTGTACATTTTTAACTGAAAAAAGATCACAACAAACTGCATAAGCATATGTAAAGGCAGAGATGTAGGAGAGAGTCACAACTAAAGGCAGTTTGGTGTGGTGGGAATGTGGCATTGGGAGGTAAATGCCAAGTGATGGGGGAATAAATAGCATAGAAGGCACCCTTCTGTATCACTAACGCCTAGGGCCACAAGAAAGCCCTGGCTTTTACACAGCCATGGACCCGACAGAAACAAGACTGAAGGGCCAGGCCAGCCAAAGACCATTCTTCTAGTTGGAGTGAGACTGACAGGGATCGAGTTGAGTGCGCTCATGCTGGGGGTGGAGAGAAAAGGACAAGGGAGAAATATTTAACATTGAAACTGATAGACGTGGTGGATAAAGCGCTGGTTACTTTAAGCCAATAGGTTTTGGGAGAGTTTGTTACATGGCACAGGGGTGCCTGAGGCTGCCTCTGTCTGAATAAGGGTCCTTCAGACCCCTGAATGGAGGTCTTCGGGAGAAATTGGCTCACAGGACAGGTCTGGGCTGGAGATGTGCATATGGAGGTCGACAGTTCCCTGACGGCGCCTGAGGTTTGGAGAGGTGAGATGCCTCAGGGGAGGCTGTGGTAATCCCAGAGGCTCACGGGCCATGCGACGAGGGACACCTTGCCCTTCTCACGAACAACCCTGTGCCGCCTCCTGTGGCTGCTGCCTCAGATCCAACCGTGTCTGGATTCATCCTCTCTCACACGGCCTCCACTACACCGTGGTTTCACTGATTGTCCTTTCACGCATCCTCTCCTTGCTCTCTTTTCACCTTCTCGCATTTCATCCTGTTCCTTGGCATTCATCTGCCTTTACATCTTGCTCTGCTCATCCTCTTTTTCCCTGCATTTTCAAAGGTCACTGTCCCTCAGGGCCGGGAGTAGGGCTGCGCTTTGGGCACAAGAATTAAGGAAGCGCTTGGTCTTGGGGGCTGAGAACAACACCTTCTGGGGCTCCCTCTGCTACACCTAGCGCCAGCCTTGCTGTCTCCTTCCTACCCCATGCATCAAGTGATCATCTCTGTTACGTTTCCTACCCACTCCTTGTTTGATTTTGTTGCTTAGTTATCTTTAATTTTTATTAGTAAATATTTAGCATACACAATGGTCACATTTCTCTTGAGGAGTTGGTACATGTACACGTTATATCTTAATTCCTTTTATGTCCTAGTCCCTTCTTCTCCTTCCCCCCTCTCTCTCTCTCCCTCCTTTTCCTGGTCCCCTTCTCATTTGCTAAACATCTATCTCTCTGTTTCCTATTATCTTTTATTTTGCTCTTTCATGGTTTATGCTTTTGGCTTTGAAATAAAGAAACTGTGTTGTATCTCAGCATGTGTGTCTGATTCATTGCATTCCACAGTATCCTCTCAGGGTACATCCATTTTCCCTTTAATTATCACTCTTCTCAGCATGTCTCTTCTGCCGTTACTCTTTGTCTTTCTGTGTCTGCCTCATTTCAAACATCCCAGTCACCACGAGCGTTCTTCCCTAGAATACTATCTACTTCATCAGAGTCTGTCCACCTACAGTCCTGTCCTGAAGGTCTTTCTCTTTGGCTTTCTTCCTTGCCTATATGGTGGGAAACATGCATGATTTCCACGTTAGCACTTTAACTTCTGAAAAGCCAGTTTCAACACACTTCTTTTCATCAACCACACAAGGTGGAAATGTTCAGATTCCATGTGGACGTTTTAAAATCTGTCTCACTCATATTCTTAGTTACATAGTGTTTTCTAGTCGACCTTTTCCATGTTTTCTCTCTTTGCAGTCTCTGCCCAGGGATACCCCCTCCATTAAAGAGAATAGCACCTTCTCTCCCCTGTATCCCAGAACTGTTGAAAAGCTACCAGAGACAGCAACAAAGACCATTTGTCTGGGCGGGTATGGGCAGTCAAGATGGGAGAATGAGGGAACATTTTTGCTCTCATGAAAAAGCAAAGACACTGATCCACAATGGGAAGGAGAACCACGCCTGCTCCTGACCCAGCTGCCATCACTCCAGTGCCAAGAAGGTAGCTTCATGGGCACCCCTGAACCCCCATAAGCACCCCAAGCACTCTCAGACCTCCTGACTGTGCCAGTCTTTGGACCCACTCTGCAGAGGCAGAGGGGGTCACCAAGGGTATTTTTCTGAGTTCTTAACTTTGAACATCTTTAAAGAAAGGGCGTGGGAAACCTGTAAAAGAACGTTGTGGAGTTCAACCATTCAGAAGGTTGGGGCCTTGCAGCCTGAGATCAGTCAGCATCATGGGGTTCAGCCATCAGCTAACTGAGATCATGGGTCTTGTATCCTCGCTCTGTCTGAGCCATTAAATGGTAAATACACTATATTGAAATTTTGTTCACTGAAGACATGTTCTGGACTGCTTCTTGATTTCAATTTAATTCAAATGCTTTAAGGGTGATAGACTAGTGACTACCACAAGTGGTCAGTGTCCAAGTTGTGCTTGATCCTAATGTGTTGCTGATTGTATCAGTTGGGATAAAGCATTGTAGTTGATTTGTTGAGCTGTTTTCTCTGATGTTATGAAGATGAGAATATCTGTGGGTCGTTAGAGACACAGAAGCCTGGGCACAACTATATCAGGAAGATTTGGGTGATAATCCAGAGATTAAACCAAGGACAGTCCGACTGTCCAAGTTGTGCTTGATCCTAATGTGTTGCTGATTGTATCAGTTGGGATAAAGCATTGTAGTTGATTTGTTGAGCTGTTTTCTCTGATGTTATGAAGATGAGAATATCTGTGGGTCGTTAGAGACACAGAAGCCTGGGCACAACTATATCAGGAAGATTTGGGTGATAATCCAGAGATTAAACCAAGGACAGTCCGACAACAAAAATTAAAATGAGAAAACACTTAAGCAAGACACAAGGACAGACTTTCAGTTCACCAATGGCAAACAGTAGGGCAAATGAGGATGAAAAGGCCGATAGTGAACCACCAGGACACCCTGAACTCAAAGCACAGGAAGTAACAAAACAGATCAATCAGGCTCTAGAACAATTCAAAACAGAAATAATTTCCCAGATAACCACAGAGATAGTGAGCAAAATGGAAGTCGTGATTCGAGACTCTAGAGCAGAAACTGAAAAACTCTCAGATATAGAAGATAAGATTGTAGTCAGTGACCATGAAAAGAGAGATCTCTTAAAAACAGTAAGGGATCATGAGAAATTGATCCAACAACTCCTAGACGATGCAAAGAAGAATAACATAAGACTGATAGGAATCCATGAAGTAGCAGGAGAAAATACAAATGACTTTAAAAAGCTGTTTGCAGAATTAAGGACAGAAAACTTCCCAAACAGAGGGGAAGAATTTGACATTCAGATAACTGAGGCATATAGGACCCCAACTAGCTACAGTAAAAAAAAAAAAATCTACATCTAGACATATAATAACCAAGATCCCAGAAACCCAACAGAAGAACAAAATACTACAAGCAGTAAGAGAAAAGAAACAAATCACATACAAAGGAAAGCCCATCAGAATCACAGCAGACTTTTCAACACAAACCCTTCGGGCAAGGAGAGCCTGGAATGAGATAGTTCAAGTACTAAAAGAGAACAACCTCCAATCTAAACTGATGTATCCAGCAAAACTCTCTTTCAAAATGGATGGGGAAATAAGATATTTCCACGACAAAGAATACCTGAGAAACTATATGAATACCAAACCAGCACTACAAGCAATTCTAAACAAGATCCTAGAAAAAGACAATGAAGGTAACAACACCATGAGGCCCAACAGAGCAAATCAAATAGGCAAGGCAAGAAACTAAAAGGAGAAGGCAAAAAAGTAAAAAGAGTCAACAAAAGGCTAATAACATGTCAATAATAAGTCAGTACATATCAGTTATAACCAGCAATGTCAATGGCCTCAACTCACCAATCAAGAGAAATAGACTGGCAAAATGGAATAAGAAGCAAAATACAACAATATGTTGTATACAAGAAACACATCTAATGCAAAAAGAAGCCCATAGACTGAAAGTGAAAAGAAAGAAAACAATTCTCCATGTGTCAGAAGCCCAGAAAAAAGCAGGGGTAGCAATCTTATTTGCAGACAAAGTAAAGTTCAAACCAAAGCTGATTCTAGTATTATTGATGTAGGATGGTACTGTATCATACCTCTATGAATGTAAAATATCTTGTACCTGCTTTATGATACATAGTAGGGACTGTGCTTTATCAGAGCTACATTTAATGATGTTACTCTAGAATGTTCTCTTTCCAGATGATGATTAAGATGCTAGTAAACAATATGGT